TAACTGATACAAGTACATAGACTTTTTTTTCGTAAATACATACATATTACACATAGAAAACACCCAGAACGATACAAACAATCATACTCGTGAATACAAATGTTTGTGCCGTGCGAGGAATCGAACCTGCGACCATCGGACGTAAAGCGGCGTGTTAGACCGCTAGACCACCGAGGTCGTCGAATAAATAAGAATAGAATTAACGATAATAATGTTTTTGTAGAAAAGCTTACAAATCTTACAATACATAACACTGATAATACTGTGCATAGTAATAGTTGTTCATGTACGGGATCTTCGTTTAATGTTAGACATAGACGTCTATAAATACTAGTTGTCCCGGGAAACGTTGTATTGCCATATAAATTATTAACGCTATAAAAAAATAGGGGTTGATGATAGAAGGGTGAAAATTTAGGGTTTATCGACAGATATAAAAAAATATAAATAAAAATTTGTGCCTAAAAAATAAAAAAAATATGTTAGGGGTGGACAACCCTTATCACTTAGTGGTATGAAAAATAGATAGTAGCCGATTCTCAGCCCTACTGAATATGCATATAAAATTTCATAAAAAACGATCAAGCCGTTTCAGAGAAGTAGGTAACTAACATTGTGACACGAGAATTTTATATATAAGATTTTTACAATCTTCCTCATATCTAGGTTAGATTTATTGTGTTTAAGAAAAAAATAAGTATGTCAATTGAGTTTCTTACCAGTTCTTCTCAATTAGATCTATATACTGAACTGGACGGTAGGGAAAAATTATCTTATAATAAAATTCTCGTGTCACAGTTTTCGTTCCCATACTCCTCCGAAACGGCATGACCGATTCTCATGAAATTTTGTGAGCGTATTGAGTAGGTATGAGAATCGGCCAACATCTATTTTTCATCCCCCTAAATGTTAGGGATAGCCCACCCCTAATTTTTTTTTTATTTTAAGGCAAAACAACGTTTGCCGGGACAGCTAGTAATATAAATAATTTGACGTTCATAAGCTATTAAAATGTCCTACATTAAATTTGAATATGAATTATTATCTGATTGCACTAAGAATGAGTGCGTAGCTGTTTCTATGCTGAATATAGCATGTCTCTTACTTGTTATTGAGTGATAATTTCTATAAAAAAAACGTCTATCAACGCAGATTCATCACAATATGAATGAGCAAGAAACTTGTGTTGCTCTTTTTATAGTAATTTAGTTATTTTTATATAAATAATTACAGTATAACAAGTAAGAGGCATGCGATAAGCAACGTAGAAATCGCTACGCACTCGTTATTTGTGTAATCAGATAATATTGTCAGTGCTATAGACTTTAAGTTTCTCTATAAAAACATTATTATCGTTAACAATTTCTTCAATTTTATAGTAAGCTTTTTTGCAAAGGTATTTTATGTGACATTTAAATCTTTATGTATCTATCTATCTATATACCTAACTATCTATCTAAACCGCATTGTCCATGATCACTTAGGTTCCGACATATGGGGACGAATTCAGTGTCGATGTCGAGCTATGATAAAGAGCGATGGTAAATGGTAGCCGTGGGTATCATGTCTACCAATTTTTCAGTCATCCATAATGACGCTCTCAGTGGTGTAGCAGTTTAGTACGCCGCTTTACTTTCGATAGTCGCGAGTTCGATTCCACGTAGTGCGCAAACTTTTGTATTCTTAAGTATGATTGTTTGTATCGGTTGTAAGTTTGGATATTTTCTACGTATTATATGTGTACATTTACGAAAAATAATAATAGTGACCTCCTCCTCTAGTGGCTACTTTTATTTTAGAAGAAATCTTTTATTTTAGACATATATCTTAACTTAAAAATAAAGTTCCAGGCGGACGAAGACGCGAGTACAGCTAGTTTGAAATAAAATTGATGCATATGTATTTCCTACTGGTTGGTAACTAAATGCACAGAAAGGTAATCACTGCGCATGCATGTTATCTGATTAATGTCAGAATAGATGACTCGACATATGTATTATAGTTACTATCTTTCTGAATGTTTATACCAAGGTAAAAGTACATAAGTCCTCCATATGTACTTTTACCTTGGTATTTTGTGCATTGAAGTTATATAAATAAATAAAAAAATGTATAAAATAGTCGTTAAGCGTTCTGAAATTTCACTATTTACTGCGAACAATTTTCCACAGAGTATGTATAAAGCAATAATCTATACATAGTACAAACAAGACTTCGCCGCTTTTACGAACGTATTCTAAGTCCTATTTCATAAAAAATAAGTTTCAAATTTCTAGCTTTAAAATAGACGATACTTCAATACAACCTCCCTCTCTACTTTCAATCCCTTACAACCCTTTTTCTTTATTTGTATTCAATCAATAGCTTAAAAATTAAAAAATAAGTTCCAAACTTCTAGTTTTAAAAATGATGATGACAATGGTACTTCTATACTATGGTACTTCTATGCAAACTTTCATCTCCGCTTTCAACCCTTTTTCCGCATTAAAAAGTAGCCTATGTCCTTTCTCAGGGTCTAGGCTAACTATGCTATTGATTGCGTGACAGACAGACGCTGTGTCTACCGTTATTTTCGCATATATAATATAATTAATAATAAGGCTTTATGTAAAAGCTATTTCGGAATTCATTCATTTCTCCACAAGATCTTCTCATAGAATTGAGAAGATCTTGTGGCAGTGCGCCTAACTGTACAATTTTAATGTACACGTACGAAAAGCATTATAAAATCCCAGAGGATGTAGGCGTTTCATTATCTAGACCAGATAAGTATATTCTGTAATTAAAAAAAAAACAAAACGTGTAATACTGGTAGACCTCACTGTGATATGGTAAACAAATACACATAGATCATGTAATAAAACAAACAAATATTACAAATTAACGACTAATGTGTGTTATGTGGTTGCGCTCAAAGTGGGAGCGAGAGCTATACCAGCGAAATCTCTCTACAATCATCTAATATATAAAGGATGTTTGCATGTCTATAACTACATCCACCCCGACCACACTTTTACACACACACACGACACCGTCCTCGCCGGCGAAGACGACGACCTTCAAACACACAATATCGAGCATTCAACCGGGCGCCTGCGGCGCCCGGGCGCTCCACACCGGCGCCCCCGGGCGCCCCTCCGATCGATCCCCCGTCCAATTCAAACGGGGATCGAAATTACGACGGCCTGAGCCAAGGTTCGAACCCCTAGTGGTGCACTCAGACTAAAGTCGTATCCGTCGGGCAGGAGTTGGCCTTCAGCCGCTCCATAAGTCCTTCCGCGGGTTTGGAGTGCTATCTGCACTCGCCCCATAACGTCCGGTGAAGCTATAAAGGCCAGCTACGGCCAACAGCATTAGAGTAGTCCGAAAAAAAAATCTATAACTGCAGTGCGTTCTATACTAGATAGCGTATGTAGGGAGAGAAACATCCACCTACCCTAAATATCTTTACAGTTAAAAACGAATGATTAAAACAATATTGAAACCAAGTTGTTCGCAAGTAATAAAATTCTGAAGTAACTATGAAATATAGAGTTTTCTCCGTCCTGTAAAAGTGGGTAAAAATATATACGATATTGAAACCTTCAAGAAAAGTTCATTATAAAACGCTTTTAAAAAAAATCCTCCACCGGTGCCTCATCAGGGTAAACCGTAAGCACAGGCAGTGTAACATTATAACGTTTCATAATTCTTTGTATTATATAAGTATAGCAGTTTGTAATAATTTGCTGTTTTTCCTCCCTTTCGTCAATACCGTAAAATTTTAAAAAATAATTCAAAGCAATACAGGGCAATACTGTCCAATAAGTACAGCTACAGTCCATATAAACTTACAAGTCGAATTTTATTATCGCCATCTATACTTCGCATCCGAAATAAATAAGTGATTACTCTGTTGGCAGATGGTGCTGCATCCATAGCAGTCCACAGATAATATTAGAAACAATCTACCATGCTGAGGCGTAGTGACTAAAAATACATTGGTAGACAAACATAATAATACATTAAGATTTAGCCAGTGATTCTATGTTTATTCTAGTATCTATGATCTAACTAAGTAGCACACCACCATCCCATTGTGATGTGATCGCAGATACGACTTTTTGCATTATACAAACATTTGTCTTTGTATATTTTTTTATTGAACTAGCTGTAGCTGTGGTTTCCCCCGCATGAAAATTATTATTAGTTCAATATCCTTCCACCCATACCTACCCACAAACCCACAAACCCAACACAACCCATACCATACATACCCACAAACTTTTGCGTCTTACTGTTAAAACTTTTTAATGTTATAATAAATATAAAATAGTATAATTATTATTAATAAAATACAATATATCTCATTATACCAAGAGTTATTACAATAACAGTCATGCAATTTCCTATTAAATTACAAATAATTGTTAAAATTTAAAAGTAAAGTAAAACCGTGTATAAAGTAAAACAATGGGAAAGCAACAGCGTTGAAAAATGTACGATATATGCGTGTTTTATCCATAATAACGCACATAATAACAATAACAGCCTGGAGTTTATTATTAAAATATAAATTCAATATTTTATTATGAGTGTGAATCCCTAAACACTATTTGGACCGGTTTTTTTTTGTATATGTTATTATTTACATAAAGTATATATCTAGTTGTATCAGTTGTTTAGTAGTGATAAGGGGAGCTTTGTGTGAATTGTCCTGACTTTTGTTAATAAATCTAATGGATTAAAGTAGTATAATGTCATTTGTGCACTCTTTGCATTGAACATATGCAATCATAGCTTTATTAATCTAATATTATTAAGTTAATGTATATGTGTATATGTATAAATTTTGGTGTCAGTATTTAATGTAAAATGCACAATTGAAATAGTTTTTTATTTATGCTTTTAGTTACAGGAAGTGATTGTAAGATGGCGCTGGTTGTTGTAAAGAACTTAATTCTAACTACCACCACAAACCCTTGTAAAGATCGTTTTTATGGAAATCCGTTCAGGGGAAGAAGGGATTTCTATAAAAATCAATTAAAACTATTAACAAGCATTATCCTGGGAATAGTTTTTGATTTATTATGTTAACGTGATTAAAATTTACATATCCGAACGGTCTTTCGGTTTGATAAACAATTTTTAATATAAAATTTAAATCATAACGTAGACCCACTGTAGGTCCTAAATTTTCCCCGGGCATATATATTGATTTCTTATGTTAATGTGATTAAAATTTATAAATACAAAGTTTTATAAACAATTTTTAATATAAAAATGAAACCATTACGTAGACTCATTGTAGTTCATAAAAGAAGAATCTATTTAATTTCTGATGTAACGTAGACTTTAATTTTTATTTGCTATGTGATTATCACTTGGTCATCGTGTCAACGTCGTCCTTATTATTTGCAACGAAATTTTCCTGCCACCAATGACCAGCATTGCCACCGCACAACTACGGTTAAATCATTCTGAATCAAGTATTACTGGCAGTCGCTGTCAATCCGCCTTGAATACTTGCAGTTTCGCCAATTTTTCTGAACAATATTAATAGTGTAATTTAATTAATAGAAAAAGGTCAGTAATTATATTATTTGTATTTTTGTCATAAAATATATCTGTCACACTTTAGATCAGAATCTTTCCATAATATATATTTTCTGTACTTTTTCCTTGTATGTTAACTGCATTCAAGTTGTGGATAAACCCAAAATAAAATTATATATAGGTATGCATTCACTTCTTTTTCATTTGAATTTAGAAGGCTACTAAACTATTTAAAAAAATAATAATATTTTTTGGGAATAAGTATGTATGTATGCATCTACTTAATTTTCCATTAATTTTAAAATTTAATAAATACTTCTTAAGAATAAGGCTGCACAAACTTGGAATCACAAATATCTAAATCTGGTAATTTATATTAATTATATTTTAGTTTTCAAAAGAATAGACAATTTTGTATTATTTTATTTAAAAGAACATTTCTTTACAGCATAATGGGGCCTTTCAAAATGAAACTAAACTACAAATTGATGCCAATGAAATTTCATTTTTTTCTATTCAACGCAGGTCAGTTGTTTTATATATTTTTATTTTTTTAATCATTAATTATGATTCTTCTACTTTTGAGGTAGCAGCAACCTAATTCCATTTATAACAAAATTAAAAAAACAAACTTAAAACATTAGGTCACATTGTTCAGATGTTTTTTCAAAAAGATTATGGTCAAAAGTATTATAATTGGTCTGTGACCATTATGAAGAGAAAAGGGCTAATAAACATACAAACATTTTTGTTTATAATGTCATTATTATGAAGAAAAGGGCTGCTTGTATATTTCTTTGTAATGTATAACTAAATTACTCAACTAATTTAAAATTCTATTATAAAAAAAAAAGATGGGCTGTAATCCATGCTGTCAGGGTCTCAGTATTTGTGTAGTAGTTCATAAAATTCTGATATATTTATAATATTGGAATACTAATAATAAAAATATCTCCCTATAATCTGAACTACTTAATCCATAGCTCACATAAGAGGAGACTATCTATATCTTATTAACATACCTTATAATAATAATAAAAGACTTTATTTCCTGTTAACTTTACAAATTTGTACATGTGTTTAGGCAGTCACTATGTTCCTGTTAGTTTATAATTATTAATAATACCTCAGGACAATTCCCACAGCGCCATCTAGTCCCAAGCTAAGAAAGGCTTGTGTTATGGGTATAAACTACTGATGTAAATACATGGATACATTTTTTTTTGTAAATAAATATATATTATACATAGAAAACACCCAGACTGATACAAACAATCATACACATGAATACAAATGTTTGTACCGTGCAAGGAATGGAACCCACGACCATCAGATAGTAAATTGGTGTGCTAAAGCACTAGACCACCGAGGCTCTCAAATTAAATCATTGTTTCTTTTTTTCCCATCTGACTTTCAACAGTCTGCCATGATGTGACATAGGGCTCCTACAAGTTTTTCTATAGCATTTAGTCCCTTGCTCTCTGGGGCCAACCTTTTCCTGCTACCTTACTAATATCATCTTCCCATCTTTTTGTCTGTCTGCCTCTGCTTCTTATGTGTCCTCTTGGGTACCACTCTGTAATGTCTTTGGTCCATTTAGGTATTTTTCCCTAATCATATGGCCTGTTCAGCCCCACTTCATAGACTTAACAATGTTTTCAACATTTTTAAATGTTGAATTTTCCTTTATTTTTGTCTCTTAGTTTAACACTGATAACACTTCTTTCTATTAAGTTCTGACACTCTAGTCTCTGCATATGTTTTTCTGTAGTACTCCAAGTTAGGCACTCATATGTTAGACAGGGCAGGATGCATGTATTGAAGACTACTTTTTTCTTTCAATGGTATATCTTTATTTTTCATTACTTCACTTAATGACCAGTACCTTTTCCATGATTTTGTGATGATAGAAATAGAAAGATGAATCACAACATACCCTATGCAGATAATTAAATATCAATATTGTGTTTTGTATTTGTCTGAGTTTAAAATACAGGCTCGGCTGAGTGTCCACCCTAATGAGCTAGCTCAGAGGTTACTCTATAACAACTCCCCAAAACGCCTGAAAAGGACACATATAGAAAGATAATATGAAATCTAATCATAGCGCCGAGGCATCTTTTAAACAAAAAATCGTGCACTCAATGGACTGTAGACTTGCATAGTAATTTACCAATCAATCTGATTATAGTACACTTACTGATTGCGGATATAAAAGAAAAAGAAAAAAAACTGTTTGAGTTATTTTTAAAGGATAGTAATAGTATAAGCACCTGTCTATGCTAACGGTATACACTGGTGAGGCATGATAGGATGAGCATGAGGTCAGGTCAGTCGGCCCATTGTGGCAAATTCGCCAGGAAATTTTGATTTCCAGGGGGAACCTCTTTGAGGCCAATCTAACATGTGTAACATTGCTAGCAATTCCTCAAAAATGATTCAAATATCTCATAAGTGACTTTTTCTGTAAAAAAGCTTATTACAGAATTAAATAGTTTGTAAATGGAAATGTTTTGGTAGGAAAAACTTAAAATTCATAGCGCTGACAATATTATCTGATTGTAAAAGATTGAGTGCATAGCAGTATCTACGTTGATTATCTTATGCCTCATACTGTGTATTAATTAATTCATTATATTATTATATTCATTATATTATTATTAATTCATATAGAATAACATTTATTCAAAAGACACATATTTATTCTTGATATTTGTTCTTCTTGTTCAGTTCAAACTCATCAGTTTGCATTCATTTGCATTGCATTTTGCACGAGTGGTAGAATATAAAACCTTCAAACCTTGAGTTTATTTGAATAAGGATTGTATCTCTATTAAATAAGGATAGCCTTCCTTACACCTTTGCCCTAGAATATATTGATTACATATAACTAATTATGGAATTTGTATGTTATATTATCTTATATAAAAATTCTCCTATCATAATGTTAGTTACCATACTCCTCCCAAACGGCTTGATCGAGTTTTATGAAATTTTATATGCATATTCAGTAGGTGTGAGAATCAGCTACTATCTATTTTTCATACCCCTAAGTGGTAAGGGATACCCACCACTAAATATATATTTTTTCGACATCATATTTTATTTTCATTTTATTTATTTACGATTGAAAAATATATACAACCCTAAATTTTCACCCTTCTAGCATGAATCCCAAGTTTTTAAACGCGATTTTAATTTATAAGGCAAAACGTTTGCAGTTTCAGCATGTATGTAAAATATATAGGTATGACATTATGAAAGGGAAACTTCTAGATAATTTTCTTGAATTTAACATTTTAATACTTATTATAGAGCTGTTTGGTGCTGGAACTTGATTAATAAAAATAACAACATTTATATTATAAAAAAAAAAATTAAACAGATTTACAGTGTCAACCAATAGTGCATGTAAATTGGATGTATGTGCTCTAATTTTTTTATATTCCCTTACAGGTATAATATTAATACTAATGAATACTAACATATAGCAAATTCCATTTAAAATAACTGAAAATTAAATATGATTGACTTAAGGAAACCTTGAAACTTCTCTTGTTTATATATTTCTTAAAAAAATGACTTTCATGACTGTGTGACATGATATTCGAGATGTGGTGAATTATTTCAATTTTTTGTGAGAAATCTTGAAAACTTACAGGTTAGCTAACTTTTGATTTATCTTCCAAATATATATACAATCATAATTTTTGTTTTTTCATTTAATAATATAATTTTATTAATATATTTTGTTATTTTACTAATTAAGTACTCTTCCCTCACAGATGCATTAAAAATCATTTCTTTTCGTATTATATATATAAACCTTCCTCTCGAATCACTCTATCTATTGCTGTTAACTGCATTAAAATCCGTCGTGCAATTTAAAAGATATAATGGAACAGACAGCGGCTGCGCCTTTTTATACTATGTTGTGTATGTTATGTTGACATATTTTCAATGTGACTAAAAAATATGTCACTTCAATATAAATAATAATAATAATCTCAGGACAATTCACACAGCGCCACCTAGACCCAAGTTAAGCTAGCTAAAGCTTGTGTTATGGGTACTAGATAACTGATACAAATACATAGATTTTTTTTTTCGTAAATACATACATATTATGCATAGAAAACACCCAGACCGACACAAACAATTATACTCATGAATACAAATGTTTGTGCCGTGCGAGGAATCGAACCCGCAACCATCGGACGTAAAGCGGTGTGCTAAACCACTAGACCACCGAGGTCGTCAATAAATACAAAACTGACTATTACATTTTCATTAAAAATATCTGAATTGATATTAATTATATTGTTTGAATATTGTGTGTTACTGTAAGTGATAGCTGCAAACGATAAGGGCGCTTTTTGTTTAGCATTAATGTTGTAACTGGCTAACGAAGAAATGTTTTGTATTCTAAATTTATAGTTCCTTTTGTAGATTGTTGTTTGTTACTTTCATTCTATTCTGTTTTTGTCAGTATATTATCTAAATCTTATATATAAAATTCTCGTGTCACAGTTTTCGTTCCCATACTCCTCCGAAACGGCTTGACCGATTCTCATTAAATTTTGTGAGCGTATTGAGTAGGTCTGAGAATCGGCCAACATCTATTTTTCATCCCCCTAAATATTAGGGGTAGTCCACCCCTAATTTTTTTTTTTTTTTTAAGGCAAATCAACGTTTGCCGTATACTATCTGTATATATATATTTTCTCCGTAATCCAAATTTTTTTTCTATTATCTATACATGAATAAAATAAAACTATAACAATTTGTATGTAAAGTTGTTTGTTTTTTTTGTAACTGGCTAATCAAACATGTATTTTTTTTTATTCTAAATTTAGTGCTTTGATTGTACATTCTTGTTTATACATTCATTCTTATGTCAATATTTTCCGAATATATATCGTTTTACCTATCTATACATATAAATAAAATTGGAGTGTCTGTTTGTACCTTATATTGAAATAACCATTTTTTTACATGCAAATCCAAAACAACGTTTTTTACAATTTTTATCTGTCTATCTGTTTGTTCCGGCTACTCTCTGAAATGGTTGGACCGATTTTGATGGGACTTTTTTTGACAGGTAGCAATAAGAAGGAACTTGGCTCCTTTTATTTTCAAATAAATATTCTATTTTAGAAAAATAAATTATGTTCCATACGGACGAAATCAAATAAAATAAAACTACAACAGTTTTTGTATATATATTTCTGCGCACTATAATGAGTTATATTATTATTATTCAGTGGTCATTGGGCTCCCTAAAATATGGTCGAGCGCAGTGATGGCTGACTCATCCGTCATACTCGTGAACGAGTGCTGCTTGTGTGGACTGGTCTGCTCTTAGCACTACGACTGATTTAATCTTATTGTATATTTATATTTGACCCAAATAAATTAGTGCTGGTTGGTAGTTTGTATTCACACGTTTCGACTTGTAAATGTAAACTTACAAGGATTATTTAAAAGAGTAATACACAAGTTTCTTGCTCGTTCTTCTTAAACTTTTGAATAGTCATAACAATTTGTTTTTACTACCGCTCGTGCGGAAAGCTGTCTCATCACAAGAAGAACGATCAAGAAACTTGTGTATTCCTCTTTTAAATAATCCTTGTAAGTTTACATTTACAAGTCAGAACGTGTGCATACAAACTTTATTTGAATAAATTATTTTCTATTCTATTCTATTCTATTCCATTCTATTATTTACAGGAACGGCACCGTTAGTGCCCTACCTTTCGACCTACGCACGCCAATTGGGATTTTCATCAGCAACTGTAGGTCTCATATATACAATACTGCCTATATTTGCACTGATAGCGAAGCCAGTTTTGGGTATTATTGCAGACAGGTATGTTGGAAAACCTACCTTATTCTGAGTCGCATAGAGTTTTATTCAAATTGTAATGCAAAATGTTATTATTGCCGATAGTTATGTTGGAAAATCTAACTTATTATGAATCGCATAGAGTTTCATTCAAATTGTAATGCAAAATGTTATTATTGCCGATAGCTATGTTGGAAAATTTACCTTATTATGAACCCCATAGAGTTTTATTCAAATTGTAATGCAAAATGTTATTATTGCCGATAGCTATGTTGGAAAATTTACCTTATTATGAACCCCATAGAGTTTTATTCAAATTGTAATCCAAAATGTTATTATTGCCGACAGGTATGTTGGAAAACCTACCTTATTACGAATCGCATAAAGTTTTATTTAAATTGTAATGCAAAATCTTATTATGCATTTAAATTTCAACCCAATTGAATTACTGTAAACTCGATGTGCTCGTGGCTTCTCCCTCGTGAAATGTATAGCTTATATGTTTAAGATTATATTATTGTAAAGTTTAATTAAAATCGGTTACGCAGTTACATTACAATAATTGTAAAAAAAATACATTTTGGTGTATGTACCGTATTTATATTCATATGCATGTAGTAAAAAACGATTATTTCAATATTACAAACAGACACTCAGTTTTATTTAACTGTATAGATTACCTTACTGGATAATTGCAGTAAATATAAATATTTATAGTAATCATTTAATATTATTAAATTTAGTAATAGCATTATGAAATGTGTGTAATTTCAACCCCTCATTATTACCTAACAGCTTTAAGGGTAACATTAACTTTTTTCAGGTTTAAGTTGCAGAAGATTATTTTTTTATTATTTCAAGCAATGACAATAGTTAGTTTCTCAGCTATATATTTCATACCAGAGAATAGAGCGACTAATAGCGTTCAATTGGATTGTGCTGATGGTATGACGGTGCTGAAGACCTGCCAGGACGGTGGGTCGGTGGATCAATGTAGATTTAAAACTCTCAAGGATAGTAAAAAAACAACTTGTGAGGTGAGTCTGAAGTAAACTAAGGGGCCGTTCAAGTATTACGTAAGCACTATAGGGGGGAGGGGGGTCTTTTCTTTGCTTATTTTGGATGACATGGGGGTGGGGGAGTCTGTATGATGATTACGTCATCGGTCGTAATTTACTTTTTTACACGAATGGCAACCCTCACATTGTCTTTGCTAAAAAAAACAATACATTAATTAAGAAATGTTTACGTAAGCATGGGTGGAGGGGGTAAGAGCTTTGCTTACTTTTGCTGACAAGGGGGATGGGGGGTAAATAATTGTGATAAATCTGCTTACGTAATACTTGAACAGCCCCTAAACTATTAGACAACCGAGGCTACCAAACGTTGATGTACACTTACTCTAATTAATTTTGTCTTCAAAAATGTTTGGTTAAAATAGTTCTCATTTCAGATGAACTGTGACATGTCGTCTCCAAAGATGTGGCAGACTGTTTGCGAACATTGGCATATACCACAATATTGTGACAATGCCACTAAAAGGTTGAGATACTCGTCACATGTGGGTAATATTACGGTTAAAGATAAATGTGCAAATGTGGCCACTAAAAACGTGATTCTTGATGGTAAGTGAAACAATTTTTTTATGGATGATAATGGAATGGTGCACTCGCCTGCACTGACGGTTTACGCAGGGCACCAGTGGAGGATGATAAGATGAGCATAAGGTCAGGTCAGTTAGCCCATCGTGACAAATTCACCAAGAAATTATCACGATGGTTTCCAGGGGGAACCGTGTGGTGGTCAACCTGACATGGTACATTGCTAGCAATAAGATCATCAGTGCACATAATTTGAGTATCAAAAATATATAAACATGTGTTGCCATGTTTGGAAATAGTTATATACCAACATTATCACCTGCCACCAGGTAGCAACCTGCAATGGCCCACTTGGAAATCGCTTAACAGACTGCGAACCCAGATGGGCCACTGCAGGTACAACTTGGTAAAATGGGATGTCGCTTCAAGAGAGGCCTTTTTTGTTTTCTTTTTTTTTTTTTATATCATAATTTGAACGCGTTTGACCGCAATCTCACCTGATATTAAGTAATGATATGGTCTAAGGCTTGTGACTGCGGAGCGCCATCCCAGACTATGGGCCATCTATCGACCTGTCCTTCTGCCCAACATCCTGCATAAAGGAAGATCTAAAAAATGCGACAGAATGCGCAAAAGTCGTAGCAACATTCTGTGGAAAATAGATTTAGTTGCCATTGAAACGAAAGAAGACCTCATCACTGTCGGGTTATGATGTGATGAAGTGTTACTGCTTTATTTGTTTACTGTACTATCTAGGTCTCTATATTTATTTATTTCGGGCTAATGAAGGCTCTTAATTATTATATATGTCATAAAACAAAGTCGCTGTCGCTGTATTTCCATAGGGACGGATAGACAGCGACAGCGACTTTGTTTTATGTATGTATGCTGATTTTGAAGCGGTTTTTTTTTAGAAAGAGAGAAAAAAATAGAAAGAAAAATATTTTATTCAGTGCAATGTAAAAAATACAATACAAACAACAAACGAAAAAAAAGAGCAAATAAAATGTACATATAATTAAACTTAATTTACCGTGTAGATAATTAAAAATAATCATTTCTTACATCCAAAAATGCACTGAAATGGATCCACTCAGCTTTAATGTATGTCCTAGGTGAACATACAGCTGGTTTTCAGTGGCATCAAAAATATATATATATAAATATACTCTCCCTTTTATATATATATAAAAGGGAGAGAGAGAGAGAGAGAGGGCACATTTTAAATAGATAGACTGATTCTAGAGGAAGATTTATACATGTATCATATATATAATACATGTACACCCGTGCGAAGTCAGGGCGAATAGCTAGTTAATATTATAATTGCAAAAGTTTGATGGAATACTATGGATGGAAGTTTGTTACTCTTTCACGCAAAAATTACTGAACGGATTGTAATGAAACTTTACTGTAATATAGTTAGTATACATCGAATAACACATTTTAAAAAAATCGAGCGGGCGAAGGCGCGGCACAGCTCATATGTAATAATTGTATATATAATTCTCGTGTCACAATGTTAGTTACCATAATCCTCTGAAACGGTTTGACCGATTTTTATGAAATTTTATAATCAGTAGGTCTGAGAATCGGCTACTATATATTATTATATGTGTGTGTGTGTGTATGTGTATATATTTATATATATTCAAAACATAGAAATAGTAAATATATTGTTATTATTAATAAATTGTCTGGTAGTAGATATTAAGTTTCTTTTTATGAATTAGTCTGTAATCCGCATATTTGTCTGTTTTTTTGCATTATACTGTTTGTTATTTGCCCCTTTGGATGATGACGCGCTTATTTCATGTTGTATGTGAACAGTAATAGAATGTAAAAATCAACTGTAAGTGAATACAATAGAGCCTATATTTAAATGTATCATTAGTATGAACCGAGCTTGACTCATTACCTTGCCGTAACACAGTTTTTAATAAAAACTATCACGGAGGGTAGTTTTCTTTCTTTGGTACTGGTACTGCTGTATGCTTAGTTTATTATGTACCCACTATAATTCTGCAAAATGAGGATTGGTCCAATTTAACATACAAATTATTATCTAACTACTTAGAATTGATATTTGTTTCATCAGCATGCATTTAATAAGGACTTACATTTATTTTGTTACCGCACTATGTCGTTTTTATTTGTTTGTTATTTAATATTATTTGAATTGTTTAACTATAAACTAAATGTGTACAAAACGCTGCTGTATTTACTAAGCAATTTTATTTTTGCAAGAATATTGTCAAGGCTGTACTAAATATTGGTTCAATAAACATTATTATTATTATATTATATATATATATATATATTCATACCCCTAAGTGATAAGGGTTGGCCACCCATAACACTTTTTTACTACTGTTTGCAGGTCATAACTACACTCCTCGCTGTCACAAAGGTAGTGGGTTCGTGAATGTCACTACACCGTGCAGTCTGAACTGCACAAATGAAAGACTATCCTCAATCGTAGGTGTTCAGAACACCACAATGACATGTTGGGACAACTCGCTCGATTATCGTTTTTGTTCTGATAATATATCTCATTTACTAGTAAAGGATCACAGCTTGGAGAGTGAATGCATGGTAAATCAAATAAACTCATTACAAGCACTTTTGAATAATCATATTTTGATTTTACCACTCATTGGGAATGCAGATTCATCACAAGAAGAATGAGCAAGAAATTTGTATGTTGCTCTTTTTATTAGATGTTTTTTTTATATATAAATAATTACAAGTAACAGGTATGGGATAATCAACATAAAAACCGCTACGCAATCATTATTATAATCAGATAATATTGTCAGCGCTATGGATTTTAAGGTTCTATAAAAACATTATTATCGTTAACGAATTCTTCAATTTTATTGTAAGCTTTTTTACAAAGGAAGAATTTTATATGACACTAGCTGTCCCGGCAAACGCTGTTTTACCTTAAAATAAAAAAAAAATTAGGGTGGACTACCCCTAACATTTATGGGGATGAAAAATTGAAGTTGGCCGATTCTCAGACCTCAATCATCATCATCATCATCGCAGCCCGGAAGACGTCCACTGGACATAGGCCTCCCCCAAAGATCTCCACGACGATCGGTCCTGCGCTGCTCGCATCCAATGCCTTCCAGCGATCTTGACCAGATCGTCGGTGCACCTTGCTGGAGGCCTTCCCACGCTCACAAAATTTCATGAGAATCGGTCAAGCCGTTTCGGAGGAGTATGGGAACAAAAACTGTTACACTAGAACTTTATATATTAGACTTAAATATTTTCAGGCAGATTTATAACAGGCTCTGGTATTTTGTTGTAAAACCTAATCTTGTTGAATGATCAGTAAGTAAGCTCCTTATAATTTAACTTTACAGGCTTCATGTGAGCATATAGAACCGTGGCAGCTTATGGAGATTTGTAACGGTTGGCAATCAGATGCTAGTACCTGTCAGCTAGAAACAATGATCGGGAAAGAGTTTCCAACAAACTTATCATTCATTGGAAATGTGCTACCTTCTACTGCAATCAAGACAGACAAATGTCTTCATGTCCAGCTGAATTATATTACCTTACCTGATGGTTAGTTGCTTTTTTTTTATATTTAGCTCTGTAGCTATTAAAGTTAAACACATATATGAGTAAACTCTTATATTGACAGTTCTACAATAATACTTAGAATTACGAAGTGAAATGAATAGAAAATAGAATAGAAATAGAAAATCATTTATTCAAATAAACTTACATTGAAGCACTTTTGAATAGTCATTACATTTTTTTTAATTATACCGCTCGTTCGGAAAGCTGTCTCATCACAAGAAGAACGAGAAAGAAACTTGCGTGTTGCTCTTTTAAATAATTTTATTATTACTTTACATTTTTAAGTTTAAGCGTGTGAATACAAACCTCCAATTAGCACTAATTCAATTAAATACTCAAATAGAAAACATATTGAATATATAACCAACTGGTTAAACAATTAATAAGAGGAAATCAGTCATAGTGATTTGAGCAGACCAGTCCCTACAAGCAGCACCCGTTCACGAGTATGACGGAAGAGCCAGCCATCACTGCGATCGACCATATTTTAGGGAACCCAATGTCCGGCCGCCACAAATATAGACATTGTAGTGAGCATGACTACTCAAAACATTAGACCACGTCAAAGCTACTTACAATTGCCATCTGATAGTTATAGTATTCACATTTTACATAAGAATGCATGCGGCAATTAATGAAATTATTGTTAGTTGAGAGTAATATCTTTGTATGCGCGGTGTCACAATAGTACAGCGAGCGGGCGACTAAGAAATCATTAGCACTCACCCAAGTGCTAATGACGGGGGCAAACGTTTGTTTATGCGTAGCTGTAGGTAACACTAACATTGAGCCACTACAGCTCTAATATTGGGCTCCCTAAAATATGATCTAACGCAGTGATAGTTGACTCATCTGTCATACTTGTGGACGTGTGCTGCTTGTAGCGACAAGTTTCTTTCCCGTTCTTCTTATGATGAGACAGCTTTTCGAATGAGCGGTAGATTAAAAAATAAATAACGACTATTAAAAAATGCATTCAATATTTTGTTCCAATAAAGAATTTGCTATTCTATTCTATAATTATATAATAATAATAATAATGTCAGTACAATTTACACAGCGCCATCTAGACCCAAATTTAGCTAGTTGAAGCTTGTGTTATGGGAACTAGATAACTGATACAAATACATAGATAATATTTTTTTCGTAAATACATACATATTATACATAGAAAACACCCAGACCGATACAAACAATCTTACTCATGAAAATGTTTGTGCCGTGCGAGGAATCGAACCCGCGACCATCGGATGTAAAGCGGTGTGCTAGACCGCTAGACCACCGAATTCGTCAATTATATGGTTTTAAAGGGTTTTATAATGATTTGTTTAATTTGTAAAGTTTATTGCGACTCAAAAATTTTGAACATACTCTATAGTCTGATGTTTTTAATAATACATGGAGTATCTTTATTAATTAGAAAAGAAGAACTATTTTTTAATTCAATCAAATAAAATAAAAATATCTTTGTTCATGTAGGTCTATTACAGTCTCTATGATATGTGAAATCTTCCCTCCGATCGATCCCCCGTCCAATTCAAACGGGGATCGATATTACGACGGCCTGAGCCGAGGTTCGGACCCCTAGTGGTGCACTCAGACTAAAGTCGTATCCGTCGGGCAGGAGTTGGCCTTCAGCCGCTCCATAAGTCCTTCCTTGGTTTGGAGTGCCATCTGCACTCGCCCTCTATCGTCCGGTGAAGCTGTAAAGGCCAGCTACGGCCAACAGCATTAGAGTAGTCCGAAAAAGAAACAAAAAAAAGTGTGAAATTTACCGTCAGTTGAGTGTGCTTGCGAGATAAGAAGAACTGACAAGAAACTCAACTGTTATTCTTTTCAAATGAGCTTGTACATCATTACAAAAATACAGACTCGTTTTTAAATATAATTAGGGAGAATTTGACACAAGTATATGCTATTGCATTTTTATCAAAAGGAAAACTCTTTTCTTTACTTATTTGTATTGTTTTCTTTACAGATTCTACATATTATCCAAAATGTACATCAAGTGATTTGTACCAACTGAGAACTGAACTAGTTCATGCATCCTGCCAAATTAATTGCAAAAATAGTCTGGTATGTTGAATATTTATATTGATGTACTGTTGTTATAGTTCTATTTTGTTACATATCTGTCTAAATTATATTTTTTATAAATATACTTTTAAACCATAGTCCAAATAGGGTAGGCAGATGCATTCTCAAATGTCGACGACTTGTGACAGCACTTAACATTGTTTTTTAAACCTCGGTGTTTAATACACATTATTTATACTGTTAGTGGCTAGTGCACGACAAAAATCTGCAGATTCTGCACAAACTGAAGAGGAAACGCCACTACACATCCTATGTGGTTGTAGCCTACTCATGCATAAACGAAATATCTCCTTTGGAAAGTATACACTCTTTCCCGAGGAGAATAAAAACTATCGCTCCTAAGAATATCCTTTAAGAACTTTAAAAAAGGGCGATCACAATGGATCTATGTACCTATATAGATCCATTGTGCTCGCCCTTTTTGCATGCGTTTCGTTTTACATACGTGCTTGCCCTTTGTGCCTCGCACTGCGACCTCGCAGTGCTACAAACATCTGACAAAAGCCCAAACAACATAGTAGCTAGTGTAATCTAATGATGATTATCTAAAATACTACATGTATTTGTTCCCAATGTGTATAATGTTTGTGAGGAGAAATAAATAAAATATTATTATTATTATAGTATGCAGCAGCATGCCAGAACCCATCGTTCTGGCACGCTGCGTTCGTTCATCTGTAAGGTCATCGACAAAAACGTTTATGTTTTTTTTTCTCATATTTTGGACATTTCAACATAACTGTTAATTGCACATGTGTTACCCACTCACTAATAGTTATGCCTCACTGTTTGGTTGACTATTAGAGATCTCTTTTAGAGATTAGTCCACTTTTACTCACTTTGTATATATTTAACTTTACAACTATTTAAAAGTGCAATAAAGTATATATATAAATCGGATTAGATCCGGAGCTATGTAATACTAGGTTGGATTTCAAATTTTGCAGGTTCTTTTTATAACTTAATTGATATCATCGAGGCATGTCTTTACATATATGCAAAATTCTAAATCTACAATGGAATAATGGGAAAGATTACGAACGATGTCGTCAATGTAAGTCAATACGAGTAGCTGAATGCGTTTCTGTTTTGTGCCAGTCAATGTACATGTGTTCTGTTGCAGAGGTCTCAACTAGAGATGAAACGGATAGCAGTTTGACCGGATATTCGGCCAACCATGTAAACGAATAGCCGCATATCCGGTGGAACTTAGCTAACTATTTTAATTTTCTTTCTATACTGTTATAGAAAGAAACTAGTTATATAGTTTACTAATAGTTTACTATTCAGTGATTAAAATTTTAAAACTAAAACTAATTTTATTCCTTAAGTAATACTAAGACTAAATAAATAAAGCAAAAAATTACTTAAAATATTTTTTTTTGTATTCTATCCGGCCAAATAGTAGTTATCCTGTATTCGGCCGGATAGGCCGGATATCCGTTTCATCTATAGTCTCAACCTCAATTTTGCGGTCCATATATTAATGTTTAGAATGGGTAGACGGGGCATTTTAAAAAAATATATTGAATTATTACATATACCATTTTATTGATTTCATTATATACTGTACTAGCTCTACGACTTCGTCTGCGTGTTAGCGACCTTGACCAAATAAAGAAAAAATATTCAATAATCTAAACCAAAAAACTCAAAGAAAAATGTTTTATCGTCTAGCTTCAAATGATGGCATTTCCATACAACCTTTTATCTCAGCTTTCAACACCTTACAACCCTTTTTTGCATCAAAAAGTAGCCTATGTCCTTTCTCATGGTGTAGATTATCTGTGTTCCAAATTTTATTTAAATAGATTTAGTAGTTTTGACGTGAAAGTGAGACTGACAGACAGACGGAGTTACTTTCGCATTTATAATATTAGTAAGGACAAGCTACCCACGACTTCGTCCCCGTGAAATTTAAGTTTATTTTAACTAACTAAAATAAAAGAATAAGTATCGTAAGTTACTCCTTATTACATCAGCTACCTGCCAAAAAAAGTCCCGTCAAAATCGGTCCAACCATTTCAGAGACTGTAACACAACAAATTGTAAATTTTGTTTACAATTTTTGTCTGTCTGTCTGTTTGTTCCGGTTTGTTCCGGCGTACTGCATATAGTAAAAAAAGGTTATTTCAATATTACAAACAGACATTTCAATTTGATTTATATTGTATAGATAATATATGGTTGTTAAATTATATGCGATCGAGAGTATTATTGATACAGTCCGAGGCCCGGATATGATTTGACATGACTGTAGCTACAAGCTGGAAATGGTTTTTTTTACTATGATGATAGCAAACAAGCATCCGAGATGCAGTACTATTTAAAATACTTTTATACCTTATTTATGTGTGTGATCTATTTTTGCCTCATGCTATTAATGTGATACCCCTGGTGTTTCAGGCGTTCATAGGCTACGGTAACCATTTACCATCAGAATAGAATAGAATAGAGATCATTTATTCAAATAAACTTAAATTAAGCACTTTTGAATAGTCATAACATTTTTTTTTATCTACGGCTCGTTCGGAAAGCTGTCTCATCACAAGAAGAACGAGCAAGAAACTTGTGTGTTGCTCTTTTAAATAATCCTTTTAAGTTTACATTTACAAGTCGAAACGTGTGAATATAAACTACCAACCAGCACTAATTTTTGGGTCAAATATAAATATACAATAAGATTGAATCAGTCGTAGTGACAACAGTCCAGTCCCTACAAGCAGCACCCGTTCACGAGTATGACGGATGAGCCAGCCATTACTGCGCTCGACAGATGGGCAGTATGCTTGATTGCCACCATCATAGTATAAAAAAAAAGTTTGTCTGTCTTAAATGTTATTTGTAATAATACATGATATGCAATATCATTTTCATTCATAATTTAAGAGCTGTGCTCTTGTCGGTGGAGCTCCCGCCACCTTCCACGATCTTCTATCAGTCCCTTTAGCTGTTGATACGACACGACTCCAGCTTTTTCTTTAACTTGCTTGATATAGCTGTCTTGGTCTTCCCCTTCCTCTCTTTCCATCTATTTTTCCTTCAATAATGTTGTTAATTAGTTCGTCGTGTCGTATCAAGTGCTGCAATATATATTAATTAAATTTTAATTTCAACAGTTGAATGAAATTTTTGAAGCTGCATCAGATAGTAGAAATAATACAAGCCAATATACAAGGGAGTTCTGGTTATTCTTTTTGTTCATGATAATCAGTTGGGTCAGCCAGTCCATAGTGATCACAATAGCTGACGCTATATGTTTCGAACTTCTTGGTAAGTTATTAACCGGGTCTTAACACGAATATTTTATGGCAGATAAAGGTATTTATTTGCCATAAAATAGGTAAATTTACCTCTCTCGACGTTTCGACTAGGTTGCACCAGCCGTGGTCACGAGCTGACCATACAGCTGATGTGTATTAAACACGAAAGTTTAAAAGTAACTTCTTGGTCAGTTTTATTATAATTAATCAAAACTGTGTTCACGAGTATGATGATTAGACTATTCATTGTAAGCTATCTTTGTAATTAACTAACAAGGATTATTTAAAAGAGCAACACACAAGTTTTTGCTCGTTCTTCTTGTGATGAGACAGCTTTCCGAATGAGCGGTAGATTAAAAAAATTGTTATGACTATTCAAAAGTGCATTTCTATTCTAATCTCTATTAAAATACTAGCTACTCGCCCCGGCTTCGCATGGGTGTACATGTATTATATATATAATCCTTCCCCTTGAAACAATGTTATCTATTTAAAAAACCGCTTCAAAATCCGTTTCGTAATTTTAAAGATTTAATGATTGTAAAAATTTAGGGACAGACAGCGACAACGACTTTGTTTTATATCATGTGATGATTTTTAACTTTATGTACACGCATCTGACCCGTCCTGGGTTCGCACGCTATATATATGTATACTTGCTGTTCCCGCGACTTCGTTCGCGTGGAATTTGACTTTATTTTTCTAAAATAAAAGTAGTTTAAGTTACTCCTTATTACATCAGTACCTGCCAAAAAAAGTCCCGTCAAAATTGGTCCAGCCATTTCAGAGATTAGCCGGAACAAACGCAGACTGACAGACAGACAGACAAAAATTGTTATTTTGGTGTATGTACCGTATTTATATTCATATGCATGTAGTAATAAACGGTTATATCAATATTACAAACAGACAATCCAATTTTATTTACATGTTATATTTGTTGCAGATAAAAATATTTCCGATTACGGCAAGCAGAGGTTATGGGGTTCTCTTGGTTATGGTCTGTTCTCGTTGATCACTGGAGCTCTTATAGACCTATTCAGCGATGGAGCATACAAGAATTATATTGTATCATTCATACTCATGTTTGTATATATGTGCGGAGATATCACAGTATCATTATTTGTACAAGTAAGTTGTTGTGGCCTTTATTTTTGACCCAACTGATTATTATGAACTAAAAGAATAACCAAAACTCCCTTATATATTGGCTTGTATTATTTCTAATATCTGATGCAGCTTCATAAATTTCATTCAACTGTTGAAATTATAATTTAATTAATATATATTGCATATCATGTATTGTTACAAATAACATTTAAGGCAGACAAAAATTTTTTTTATACTATGATGGTGGCAATCAAGGATACGGCCCATCTGATGGTAAATGGTTACCGTAGCCTATGAACGCCTGAAACACCAGGGGTACCACATTAATAGCATGAGGCAAAAATAGATTGAATTGGTAGTTTGTATTCGCACACTTCAATTTAAAAGGTAAAGTAACAATAAAATTATTTAAAAGAGCAACACACAAGTTTCTTGCTCGTTCTTCTTGTGATGAGACAGCTTTCCGAACGAGCGGTAGATTTAAAATAATGTGATGACTATTCAAAATTGCTTTAATGTAAGTTTATTTGAATAAATGATTTCTATTTTTATTTTATCTATTCTAATTAATGTTTTATTTTATTAGAATAGAATAAAACTTGTAAGAATAAAATATATTACGCCGACCCCAAATAAATGGGATAAGGAAGGAACAGATGATGATGTGAATAGAATAAAAGAAAAATTATATTCAAACACTTATAAATAGTTATCACTATGGTTGGTCATTCAGTTGAGTTTCTTTTCGATTCTTCTCAATTGAATCTGTATACTGAACTGAATTATCCATAAGCGGTTACAATGTAGTACTACATGAATAAATGATTTTTGTTTTGATACAATATACAGATTTGCAGGTGTCACTCATTTATGTATAATTTATATTAACAAATGTTTAATATAATTCCCCTTGTGTTGCGAGTACTCATGGGCGGTGGTAATCACTTACCATCAGGCTGTAAGCTCGTTTGCTATAAAAAAAAGACATTTTTTTTTTAACATGTATAATTTTTTTAAGGTTAAACAGGAAATGCTTATTTAAAAAAAAAAAAGTGTATGTAATGATGCGTTTCGATATAGTAATAATATTTATTCAAATTAACTTAATATAAGCACTTTTGAACAGTCATATTTCTTTATTCTACCACTCATTCGGAAAGACTCATCGCAAGAACGTTGCGTGTTGCTCTTTTAAATAATCGTTGTAACTTTACATTTTTAATTTGAAATGTGTGAATACAAACTGCCAATTAGCACTAATTTATTTATTGGAATGGTATTTTATGGTTATTTATTGAATTGTTATGGAATTTAACTTTATTTTTCTAAAATAAAAGAATATTTCTAAAAAAAAATAGCCTAAGTTAGTCCTTATTACATAAGCTACGTACCAAAAATGTCTCGTCAAAATCAGTCCAACCAAGCCAGAGATTAGCCGGAACAAACGGACAGACTGACAAAAATTGTAAAAAAAGATATATTGGTATATGTACCGATATGCATGTAGTAAAAAACGGTTATTTCAATATTACAGACACTCCAATTTTATTTGTATATGATGTATATGATACTTTTACTTGGAAAATATAACACAAAGTACATTTCCAGACGGATACAATAAAAATGTCATCGAATATTTTATCAGAAGTTGGAACACTGATGGCCTCTTCAGCAACAATTGTATTCTTGCTGTGGGCGACGGTAGTCGGTATCTGTACCGGTTTCATATGGCAGTTTCTTTTCTGGCATCTAGAAGACATAGCGGCTCAGAGCTGCGATGGATCTGATTACATAAAAACACTGGAAGGCATAGTTACTGCGGTACAATCATTTGGTGGAGAGATACCTTTTTTATTCGTATCGGGTAAGTTATTTTATACTATTTGTTGTAGTTTTATTTTATACTAGCTGTTGCCAGCGACTTCGTCTGCGTTTCCGTCTTTTTTTTCGGAAAAATAAGTAGCCTATGTCCTTCCTCACGGTTCAGTGGTTTTGATGTGACATTTCCCGTCACTGCTCTGCTCCTATTGATCGTAGCGTGATGAAAAGTATACTATAACCTGGACAGGAGTATGAAGAATAATTGTACCAAGTTTCGTTGAAATGAGTCGAGTAGTTTTTGTTTCTGTAACGTACATACAGTCAGACAGACAAAAATTTTACTGATTGCATTTTTGACGTCAGTATCGATCACTAATCACCTCCTGATAGTTATTTTGGAAATATATGTCATGGTCAGAATTGACCTCTTTACATATTTATTATAAGTATATAGATAACTGTACCAGGGACTTCGTCCGCATGGAATTAAACTTTATTTTTCTAAATTAAAAGTAGCCTAAGTTACTCCTTATGATATCAGCTACCTGCCAAAAAACAGTCCCGTCGAAATCGGTCCAGCCATTTCAGAGGTTCGCCCGAACAAACAGAGAGACATACAAAAATTATAGTATTTATTTTCATATGCATGTAGTAAAAAACGTTAATTTCAATATTACAAACAGACACTCCAATTTTATTTATATGTATAGACTAGCTGTGCCGCTTCTTTCGCAATATATAACTATACTATACTACAATATATAAAAATATAGAGATAGCGGCTGCAGTGCCACACGCTCGAGAGCGGGGTGCAGTTAAAACAGGCGATTGTATTTTTGATTGATAGTGATTTTTTAGACATATATCCAAACTTGATAGCTCAGTAGAAACTTTATTTTTACAAATGGATACAAGTGCCTTGAGTGATATATAATATTAATACAATAACCATAACATGGACAATAAAGTCTTCGAGTGGCGACCACAGTCCGGAAAACGCAGCGTGGGAAGGCCTCCAGGAAGGTGGACCGACGATCTGGTCAATATCGCTGGAAGGCATTCGATGCGAACAGCGCTGGACCGATCGTCGTGGAGATCTTTAGGGGAGGCCTATGTCCAGCAGTGGACGTCTTCCAGACTGCGATGATGATGAACCATAATATGCAAATATTACATACTGCGTGTGTTCAGTTCCAACAGTGCCTTTTTATACTGTCTAAATATATATAACTCAAAGGTGACTGACATAGTGATCTATCAACGCACATCCCAAACCACTGGACGGATCGGGTTGAAATTTGGGATGCAGGTAGATGTTATGATGTAGGCATCCGCTAAGAAAGGAGATTAATTCCACCCCCATGGGGATAAAATAGGGGATGATAATTTGTATGAAACTGTCAATTTTAAACCGATCGGCCTGAGACTTTGCATGCATAAAGCTACTACGACGTAAGCATTCTCTAAGAAAGGATTTTGATAAATTCCATCCTTAACGGGATAAATTAACGCGAGCGAAGCCACGGGCAAAAGCTAGTGAGTTGATCAAATGCTTACAGGATTCCGATATTTTAATTCAGAAAATTTGTACTATTTCAGGGTATGTACTAAAAAAGGTTGGACATATAAATATGATGAGCCTGGTGCTGTTCGCGTTCGGTGTGCGGTTCCTGCTGTACTCTGTGCTCAGTAATGCGTGGTGGGTGCTGCCCATAGAGATGCTGCAGGGCATCACCTACGGCATGTTCTACCCCGCCATGACGTCTTACGCAAAGATGGTATCGCCTGATGGCACAGAAACCACTGTCCAGGTAAAAATCCAATAATTCACTCATC